ATCCCTTAGCCCACTTCCTCCTTGTGCTTCCTGGGTCCACTTCTCTTTCTTTCCTAACCCTTCTCAACTTTGTTCCTGGGTAAATACTGCCCTTTAGATCTCAAATGGTTGATGGCGCTAAGGTATGTGTCTTACCTGGTGCTGCTGTTCCCCTTATAGACCTATTTTTGGGCTGAAAATTGAGCCATGGGGGATGAGTTTATTTCCAAACCTAAAGGGTAACTAAGGGTCATAGTCTCGAGATTTAATCAGTCTCTATCTAAGGATCTCTGGTAGTGTAGTGGTTATGAATCGGGCTGCGAACTGCCAGCTGTTCCGAGGGAGAAAGATGAGGCTTTCTACTCCCGTAAAGATTTGCAGCCTCGAAAACCCTATACCGGGTTGCTATGAGTCGGAACCGACTCCACGGCACATAACAACAACAACATTAGTCCATTGGAATAGTTGTTTTCGTGAATGTTTGATTTTCATCACTCTTCTTTCATGTGGACAGGTTTAAACCAGTTGTTGTACCTTAGATGGCCACTCACAAGCTTTTAAGACCCCAGTTTCTACTCTTCAATATAGGATGTAAAGCATTGTCTTTGTGGACTGTATTATCTGAGCATCAATTTAATCATCCTGGTGTGGTGTTGCGGATTATGCGCTAGACTGCAAGGCCATTTTGAACCTCAAGATGGGCAGTTCAAGCTCACCAGCCACTCCTCAGAAACCCTAGACAGACAGGGTCGCCATGAGTCAGTACCGATTTGACAGCACTTAACAACAACAACATAATGGAATAACAATACTCACAAACATGGCTGCCAGAAGAACTAAGAATAATCCATGTCAACAGTGAGACTTATAGTAATAATTATAATGATGTCTTTATTCCCCAGACACAGTGTCTTGCACAAAACAAAAATAAATATTTGTGGGAGAGAGAGTAAAGGAGAATTTGGAAAATGTACATTTAGCACTGGTATATAATAGTGGTTACGAATCGGGCTGTGAACCTTAAGGTCAGTGGTTCGAAACTACCAGCTGCTCCGCGGGAGAAAGATGAGGCTTTCTACTCCCGTAAAGATTTACACCCTCGGAAACCCTGTACAGGGTCGCTATGGGTCGGAACCGACTCAACGGCACTTAACAACAACAACAACAACAATATAAACTTCTGTCAGAGATAGTTTCCTCTTTTCTAGGAAGACTTTTTCTGATTATAAATATTTCCTGTGGAAATTTTTGGAGGACCATAGACTAAGAGGAGTCCTGGTGTGGCGCTGCGGGTTAATGTGCTGGAATGCAAGCTTGGTTTGAACCTCAAGGTCAGCTGTTCAAGCTCACCAACTGCTTCTTAAAAACCCTATACAGAGTCACTGAGTCAGAACTGACTCAATGGCACTTAACACCAACATCTTGGTGTTGGTATGTCCATCTTGCCTCTTATGGCTAACTGTTGCCACCTAGTGGCTGCTACTGCAAAACCCCATCACCTTCATTGACACCAGGGATTCCTGGTCTGCGCAGTTTCTCTTGCCATCTACCCAGCCTACAAAGCACAGCCACACTAAGCTTTTCTAGGATGCAGCGGCCTCTCACTGGTGAATCCTTCTTGCTTTAGTGAAGGAAATGTTGGCTGTGCCCTTCCAATCTCACAGGCCCACATCTTTTGTTTCTCAATATTGTGCCAGGGCCATTCAGGAATCTTCTCCTCATTCATGTAATCCATCATTTCCCCAAGTTTAAGAAGTCACCTCAACAGCACATTAGGACCAGATCCAGGTGAGGATTTTAAAGCTCGAGTCATAGGAAGTGCCTCCATATCCATAAACTCTTGTTGTAGTTAAGTGCCGTCGAGTTGGTTCTGAACCCATAGCAACCCTGTATAGTGTTTCCAAGGAGCAGCTAGTGAGTTTGAACCGCCAACCTAGCACCACACCAAGACTCATATCATGCCACCTCCTCATCTCATCACAACCCAACACTTAGGATCCATTCACTAACGTATTCGACAAAGATCTAGCAGTGCTGAGGTTCCTTCAAGGAAGAATCTATCTTCCCACAGCAAGGAGAGGCCTTTCCCAGTCAGATCATCCTGAATTACCCTTTTAGTCCTGGTGTGGCGCTGAGGGTTAATGCGTCAGACTGCAAAGCCATTTGAACTGCAAGGTCAATGGTTCAAGCTTACCAGCTGCTTCTCAGAAACCCTATACAGAGTTGCTATGGGTTGGAACCGACTCAACGGCACTTAATAACAACAACAGCCACTATATAAAGCACCCTTCTCAGGTGGGGCCTCCATATGGTCTCTTCGTAAGAGGAACTTATGCTTCTCGGGTAAGGAAGACTGAATCCCTGCTTGAGGAGACTTGACATGAATCCATCTAAATGTCTCCATTCCAGGTCTCTGTGGCCCACTCCTTCCCTATTAGGACCTTGACTTAAGAGTAGGAGACTTGCCAGAATTCTGAATTCAGCCTTTTTAATAACTTAGCTGCTCTCCCACTAAGGTCTTAAGCTTGATTTTCAGCACAGTCACAGAAGAGTCCAGTCACATACTGCCTTCTGCCTTTCATCTACCCGGAGTGCTTTGACTGCATGTAACAACCAAATAACACAAACTCACAATCCTTATCATAACCATTGTCCCTTGTCACTCAGTGGTATAGATATGGCATGAGCCAGCGCTTACCTTCCTTTGTGTGTCCCATCCTGATTCACCACAGGTGAGTCTTAGTAATTGTGATATCCCAGCATGCCTTGTTGTTTTTAGAACATTCCGCATTCCAGATAGACTCCCAAAAGATAACCGTGTTGGGTTTCACCCTTAGATCCACTCGCCCCTTCCTGACAGCCTGTTGCCGGGGAGATTTACCTTTACACTGAATCAGTAGGCACCCTTATGTTCTCACTTCCCATTTGATTACAGTGATGGGAGGCACTAGCAGATCAAGGGTTGGAAGGAAAGTTGAGTATTTGCTTCCCAACCTTTCTCCATACATCTCAAGTTGATAATGGTTGGATTTCCCCTACCAAAGACCACAGTTCTCTCTGGGGTCTGATAGCCACTCTTGCTCTTTCAGTCTGGAGTCATAGACTGTCCATTGTTTCTAAAATGGAGATATTTTACCACCTTTTTGGTCTCCTTAACTGTGCCCACACATTTGTAAGTAGTCTCTTCATTAAACTCGCTCCACTAGCCCACATTTGTTTCCTATTAGGACCTGACTGATGTTATGGTCAAGTCTTTACTGCTTCTGCCTTTTTCTCCCTAAGGTCTTGGAAGAAGCAACACTTTCTCTCAGAAAACCCTGGGGAAAGTTCTAAGGGATGGGTTGGAAACCCTTGTGTGGTACCACCCCATGTCATCTTAAGCATCTCCAGCTTAGACCCGACACTCAACTCCTTTTTCTGTAAGAGTGGCTTCCTTGCCCACGGACAGATTTGCATTGAAGGTTTAGAGAGTCATTTGCTAATATCCTTTGGTCCCGATATTCACCCCATGTCAGTTTCAACAGTTGTCCATGGGAGCACATTGATTTCTCATTCAAAAAGAACTCCTGACTCCCAGCCATGATTGGGGGTGGGGGGGGGCAGTGTGTGTGCAAATCAAGCCACTTGTGGGACTCTTGCTACCTGGTCATCTCTGTGTCTCCTATTAAACAGGATATCCTAAACTAATGTTTAAGTAAAAATAACCTTATAGCTCATTTTAAATATGTTTCTTAATGTTATTTCAAGTATGTTGTTGTTGTTAAGTGCCATCAAGTTGATTCTGACCCATGGCAACCCTGTATAGGGTTTCCAAGGAGCAGCTGGTGAGCTTGAACTTCCAACCTTGTAATTCAAACCGACTTTGTAGTCCAGTTCATTAACCCACGGCGTCACACTAGGATGCAAGTATATTAGCGACTAAAAAGACTTTTAAGTTTTATGAATTCAAAAGGCAGAAGACATGCTTTATTGGCATTAATATAGATTTTCCAGGCATATTATGAAAAAGGAACAAGGTTAAATTCAGCCTCTCAAAATGCCAAAATTAAAGACATCTGTATGACATTAGAGGTTTAAAAAAACAAAACACAGAGAGAATCAGCCTTGTAATTTTGAGGCAGCACGGGCTTGAAAGTCCCAGACCTTGTCCTCCAAGCCAGCAATGCAGCTTTACCACTACAAACATGTAAAGTTTCTGAGAAGAATAAAGTCCATTTAAATTTAAATTCTGTTAGGTGGGGATGAATACTTGCAAGTTAACACATTGGACATAGCTTTAGGAGAACATTACACTCTAAAATCATGGGCTTCCTTTCTTAAGTTTTTAAAGCTCCGGTCCATATTTCTTCTGAAGGTTTTTGTTTTTTCAATCACTAGAAACGATCCATTTATTAGGGATCTTAAAAGGAATTTAGGAAATTTTGCTTAGAAAAAGAATTACACAAATACAGAACTTAATTTGACCGACCGTTAATCCACTTTGTTAATTTGCACTGTGGCTATGTCTTGTATAGACCATTGTTCAGTCAAAACGGGAAAGGGTATCTTCTCTAGGGAAGCTTGCTGTTGGGATTTCTTGAGGACAGAAGGACTACAGCATCTGTTTTGTTACTTTCTGACCCTTGGATAACAGGGTTCCATTGGAGACTGTTAGTTAAGTTGGGTGTGAGACCAGAAAGGCTGTCTAACACCATTTCCCAATTACATTCAATGCATTTGAATCGTTAGCATATTAGGGAGAGATACAAATTACATTCCAAGGCTCAAGGCAGAGAAAAGTGAATTTGAAGATGTATAAATCAGATCAATTATTTGGGTAAAGGCACAAATGTTGTTTTACATCTTTAGCATAAGTAGGCTACATCTGACCTTGGTTTCAAATCAAGACAAATAGCCTCCTCCACGGATGAGGTCAAAATTAAAGTTTTTTTTAATGCAGAGGGCATCGCTGCTTGTGCTGCCTGTGCAGGTGGACCTGGGAGGTCAAGGCTGCCAGCTGTGTTCTGTAGACCGCGCCAACTTCAAATTGTCTCACACTCGGTGGTGGCAGTAGGGCAGGCTCCGCAGTCACAGCGGACAGCCACGGGGTAGGTGTAGAAGGGGTCAACTCCAGGAGCACAGTTGGGCAGCTTGATGGTCACCTGCTTGGTCTCATTGTAGGTACAGACTCGATGATGGGCTTCAATGTAGGGGGGTTCCAGAATGGGCTTCTGTCCCCACAGGTAGAAAACAGGAAACCCATTAGCACAAACCACCGTATTTTATTTTCTTGGTACCAATCAGAAATTAACTCTTTATTCATTTGTTTACTCAGTAGAAAGCACGAACCTACTTTTGTTCACAATCATCTCCTGAATGTCCAAAAGAGTCCACGGCACAGAGCAAGTGCTCATGAAACATTTAGCCAATGAATAACCTTGATCATTACGCAAGTCTCTTCATTGGTTTTCCTGCTCCCGCCCTTGCCCCCTGCAGTTCATTTGTAACATGGAAGCCCTAAGTGATGCTTTTAAAGCATAAATCCTATTCTGTCACTCTTCCACTCAAAGCCCCAATGATTTCTCACCTCAGTCAGAGTAAAACTCAAAGACCTTATTAATCAAAAACCCACTGCCATCGAGTCGGTTCCAATGAAAGGTTTCTGAGACTGTAGTCTTTTCAGGGGCAGACAGCTTCATCTGTCTGGTGAGATTAAACCGCTGGCCTTGAGGTTAGCAGTCCGGTGCTTAACACACGGAGCCACAAGGCCTCCTTAAAGGTCTTACAATTACTCTCAAGTTCCTGGATGACCTTCCATACACCTTCACCTCCTGCTCTGTCTCAGATCACGCCCACCTTGCAGATCATGCTCACTCTGCTCCACTGCAATGGCCTGGGTGTAGTTCCTCACACCTACCAGAATTGTGTCATTTCAGGGTCTTCCCACTTGATCTTTACCTGGAGTGCCTTTGCTGTCCAGCCTTTCAAAATCATAACATCCCACCTCCAAGTTTTAGAACTTCCTAGACTGGCCCCTGCTTTATTTAACTCTAAAGCTCGTATCAATACGACCTGACATACTATACAATGGGGGATCCAAAAGTTTGTGAAAATTTTCCATTTTCTTTTCATTTCATTTTTCCACGAACCTTTGGAGGCCCCCTCATATACGTATTTGAGTTAGATTTCTCTCCCCACCTGTGTCGCTGCTAGAAAATTAATTCCATTAAGACAGGGATTTTTGTCCATTTTGCTCATTGCTGTGTCTCAAGTGCCTGAAACAAAATATCTGGCACCCAGGAGCGTCTCAGTAACTATTTGTTGAATGAATGAAGTAGAGTAAGGCCATTTCTGGAATGCCCTGTGAGCTGTTCTGCTAATCAAAGGCTTCATCTCCTCCTTTCACCTTTCTGAATCCTAAATTCAAAGATAATTGTAATAAACAGAACATAGAGATCAGAAAATTAACAAAAAGTCAGTCACTAAAATCTCTTGCCCTACTTCAGACATATTGAACGTGAATCTCTGTTTTATCACTTGCTGAAACCTTGGAAAATCCAAGTACCAGCTTGAAACCTGAGTTTCCCAAACTATGAAACAAAATAGCTACCTCATAGTATTGTTGTGAAAATAAGCTATTTCTCAAAACACTTAGCATAATGCCTAGCACAAAGTAATTATTTAATAAACACTGTTATTTTAGAGTCCTGCTGTGGCATTGTAGGATAAGCACTTGACTTCAAGGTCGGTTTGCACCACAAGATTGGCAGTTCAAATTCACCAGCACTCCTCAGAAACCCTATACAGGGTCACTATGAGTCAGAACTGACTCAACAGCACTTAACAACAACAACAACAACATTATTGTTATTTGAACAATTATTATGATAATGAGGAAATAATAATTTAAAATAGCAACAAGTTTTCAAAACATTTGTTCTGAGAAAAAACACACATATTTAATGAAAGACCCAACATGAAGTTCTTTCATGAATGTCAGAAAAAGCAGCTTCTCATTGACGAGAACCATGCAGAAATGCTGCATTTGTCTTCAGTTGTTTTCTGCTAAAGGAGGCCTGGTGGTGCAGTTGTTGAAGCGCTCAGGTGATAACCTAATACTCAGCGGTTTCAACCCACCGGCTACTCCTCAGGAGAAAGATGAGGCAGTTTGCTTCCATAAAGATTTACAGCCTTGGAAATCCTTTGGGGAAGTTCTACTGTGTCCAATAGGGTCACTATGAGCAGGAATTGATACAACAGTTTTCTGCTCACTTTGAAGTCAGCATTTTAACCGTTCTCCATTGGTCTTATGTCCTTCTACCCACCATAATCTCAAAGCCTCAACTGAGTTGTCAGATAAAATACAGGACACCCAGTAATTTGCATTTCAGATAAAAAACAAATCACTTTTTTTTAATATAAGTCTGTCTCAAATATTGCTTGGGACAAGTTTATACTAAAAAAGTGATTTGAAATATAAATTTTAACTGAGTGTCATTCATTTGTTTGGTTTCTGTTTGCTAAATCGGGGAGTCCTAAACCCTTGTCATGAGCACAAGCTATTTTAAGCAACAGCTGCACCATCAAAAGTTAATACAGACGCTTTGTCTTCATGAACATCCCGATTTTCAGACATGCTCCCTAACCGAGTCGCCAAAAAACAATAGCTTTATATCTTAGAAACTTTGATTGCTTGGAAAACAAACCGCATTTTTTTTTTCTATAAGAAATTTCGAAAAGACATAAATAAAAATTGGCTAAAAGTAGGAAAGTCTTTTTTTTTTTAACCTTAACTTTCAATGAAAGTTAAGATCTTTCAATGAAAGATCTCCTGTGATGACCATGATTCAATTAAAGATCAACTTATACAAGGAGCTCTGGTAGCATAGTGCTTACATGTTGGGCTGTGAACCTCAAGGTCAGCAGTTCAAAACTACCAGCTGTTCCATGGGAGAAAGATGAGGCTTTCTGCTCCCATAAAGATTTACAGCCTCAAAACCCTATGTGGAGTCACTATGAGTCAGAACCGACTCCACGGCACACCACCACCACCATCAGCTTATACAAAGAAGAGAAGATGGACTGACTTGAAGATAAACTCTAACATTTTGACCCACAAAGAGCTCCAGGATGCTACATGCAAGTGAAGAGAACACAGTCAGACCAAGCCTTGAATAAGACAGGGCACCAAAATTTCCTGCATAAGTTTGATGTCAAGTGACTCCCACAGTATCCTTAGCAACGGAATTTGCATTTGACTAGGAGTCCTGGTGTGGCGCTATAGGTTAAGCACTGGACCTCAAGGTGGTCATACAAACCTACCAACCTCCTTGGTCTCAAGCCCTGAAGGATGCAAAAAATGGTGTTGTTGCCAAGTCACATGGAATCGGTTCCAACTTATAGTGACCCTGTCTAGGGTTTCCAACCTTATAGTTCACAGTCCAGTGCTAAGCCTATAGTACCACACCAGGTTGTTTTTTATATAGTTTTATATAATTTGGAAGTTTATTACCATAAACCAATTCCATCCATGGGGCCATGGTTTTATCTAAGTAAAAGCGGGTTGCTCTCTGAGTCCCTGGATACCAAAAATCCATTGCTGGGAGTCAACTCATAGCAACCACATATATGTCAGAGTAGAACTGTGCCACACAGGGTTTTCAGTGACGATTATTTTATGAGTAGAATCACCAGTCCTTTCTTCAGAGGTACTTCTGGTTAGACTCAAACCTCCAACCTCCTGGTTAACATCAGAGTATGTTAACTATTTGTACCACCCAGAAACTCTTAGCCTCAAATAGAAGAATATTTTTCTTACTGGTAGCATATTTTCATAGTGCTCGTGAGCTTCTAGGGCAAATTCAATGAGGCTAGAAGTTACACAAATCCAGGTAGAGGTCAATTCTTTTTAATGCAATGAGGAGTTATTGAACAGTTTGCTCATACAAGATGACAAGAGCTAAAATAATATAAGGGTGACCCACAGTTTCTATTCCCAAAGAATTTCAAATCTAGTGCTTGGAGAGGAAAGACAACAAAAGATAGAATATGCTCTCTTGGTAATTGGCTTTATCATACATAGAGTGATTGTAGCTCTGGGAGGAGTTTTGGTCACAGGCTAAAACCAATAATTTAGTCCCGGCTGTCCATTGACTATATGACTTTGTGGTCATTCACATCTTGAATTCTTCTATGTCATCTATAAAATGAATAGAATAATGGCACATCTTGCCCTCTCAGAGATGATCCCCAAATACACAGACTCCATGTAAATCAGATTCTTAATCTTATCAGGACTTTGTTAGACAGCAATAAGTCGTGTTTCTTTCAGATAACTTTTGAAGGATACCAAATAAATGTTTTTTGTTTTACTTTGAAATCCACAGGGAAAGGCAGATTCCCCCTTTCTACCTAATTTTATAGAGCAAGCAAACACTTACGAGTTAGACCTAGGTGGCTTGCCCCTAAAGGCATCCACCCTGGACTGTTTTCTCCACTCACCTCCCAAGTCTCACAGCGGCCCCAGCATGCATCGGTGGTGATCCGCAAGCCTCTACAGCCCGTCTTCTTGGCCACGAAGGTAAACTCCCTTACAGCACAGCCCACAAAGGTGTGTAGGTTTCTGCTGGAGGTGCTGAAGACACAGCTGCAACCAGCCAGAAGGAGGAGGGCCATGGGGCCAAGAAAAAGGTATGCAGGCTTCATGCTGTTTCTCCAAAGAGGGAGAGGAAGGAGAGTTAATTTACAGAACTAGCTACCTCAATGGAACAACCTCGCTATCAGCAGAACCTTGCTCTTAGTTTCTCAGAACAATTGAGCCTAGACATTGTAAATGCCCACAGATTCCAACAAAGGTGCCCATGATTTCCTTGTAATTGTCTCCCATCTGTATTCCACACCAAACATCCAAGGGCATTCTCAGGCTTATTGTGACCCAACTGCTGGACTTAGGTGTTAGAGAAGCTTGTTCCAATGGTCTCTTCAAAATGAATGCAAAGAATGAACAACAGCAAAAGTCATTCATATTGTAACATTAACACATAAATACACATAAATTATGATTATTTAGATCCAGAGTATTTGGGTGCCATGTTATATGCTTTGCTCAAAATTATATTTTCAAGTGACATGGTGGGAAAGAAATAAATATTAATAACTTGATGCCTTATATACTATTACTAAGCCAACCCACCACAAAACATAAATATGCAGAAGAGGTCTGAAACCTGGTCACCTGCCTTAGAATCCCATTCACAAATGTGTTCTATTCCTACTACTTGTCTTTGCTGTAGGCTCTTGCTGTAATAAGTACCTAGCTGTGAATCATGTAAATCTAAATGATTTAAAGCATCAAAGGTGTTTAAAATGCAATCCTAATCTACCACCAAGTGTGTTTTCTCAAGGTCTTGGTCATTTTCTGTATTCTTTTAACATTAGAATCACCCATTCAAGACTGATTCTCTAGACAGAACACATCAGGATGTTGAAAGTAGACATTGCATTATGGTACTTCCCTGATTCATTATCATTTAAGATGGGTTGTGAGGTTATTCATCTCCAAAGCTCATCTTGTGGCTCCAACTTCTGATCTACCACCTTAACAGAGTTCTCTGGGATCCCCCTGAAATGGAATGAAGTTTCAATTATGAAGAAGCACTTACCCAATCATGTTGGAGTTAGCTCGCCTTTTAGAGCTGAAACTTGCACCCAAGGCTTCAGAAAGTCACACTGGATAGTAGAATTTTGCTCTGGGTTAAGCGTCTCTACCCTTTGTGACTGAGCTGCTTGATCGCTCAAATATATAGGAAAGGTCTTGTGGATCAAAACAAAAGAGAGACAGATTCTTACAGGAACTACTAAACACATCAAAGCCCTGGTATAGAAAGCCACTCTCTATTTTCCAAAACTGATTCACTTGAAGGGTGTTGTTTTGTTTCTTAACATCACCTACGAAAACAGAAAGTTACCTTAGTGGGTGACATAATCCTAGGGAAATAGTCATATATCGTTTACCTGGCTCTCAGGAGAACAAATGCACTGGGGAAAGATGGATTAAAGTTTCCTTCATACTAACAAAAAGAAGTAAGTAAGTCACTAGCAGCTCATGGCAAACTCTTTCCCTTAACTCCCATGTTTCAGTAAACTGAAAAACAACAAAACAATTGTTCTTGCTGGAAAGACCATGAAATCATGAACTGAAGGGATGGAAATCACAGTAAAAAGGAACATCTTGGAAATCTTTAATTAGTCAGCATTAGATAATATTAATGACACCTTAGAGGGAATCATATAGGGAAAAAATAGAAAAATGTTCAAAGTCATTTCCTTCCAGTATGGGAATTACAAGTGAATTTTCATCTATTTTACATCGTTTTCAGCATCTTTCACGTTGCTTACATTGGACAGATTTTTATGATAGTAAGGCAAATACTATTAATATTTTTAATTAAAATGGACCATGTAAATATACATTTGTCCTACCTGTAAGAACATTCAAAGTTGTTACATTGAAAACACATTTTCATTATGTTCACAGTTCTAAATAGTATGTTTTATATTTATGAGTAGGGGACATCGGTTATATTCCAATCTGCAGCAGCAGCATACAAGTAGATTAAAAACTTGCTTGTTCATGGCATTTTTCTGGATGCTTTAAAAAATAAATTAAGCAGACATGATCCTTGCTCCTAAAACCCACTGCCCTTGAGTCGATTCTGATTCATAGCAACTGTAGAGAATCAAGTAAAACTGCTCTGTAGGGTTTTCAAGGCTGTCAATCTTATGGAAGCAGATGGCCACGTCTTTCTCCCATGGAGCACCTGGTGGGTTCCAACCCTTAGCCTTTCAGTTGACAGTCAAATGCTTGACCACTATACCACCAGGGTTCCTTTCATTATATAAATAGTGAATTGAGTAAAGAAAATAAGGCATTTCCATTTTTTTTATTGAAAGTCCTTTTTTAAATAAATGCAGTACTCACCAAAGGCTTGATGTTTCAAACCATGTAACAGTCTCAATGAGTCCATCAATATATCATCAGTTTCTCTAGAATCAGATTACATATATTTTACAGATAGTTGAACTCACTGAACTGGGAATAGTTACAGGACTTTCTCCAGACTCTCAGATTGTGACTAGCATAAGCCAACCAGAATACTGTGGGAAAGACTGCTTACCTGGAGTGATCTTTCTAACTTGCTGGGCCAATTGTCGATGAGTTGCCATCCTGAACCATGTTCTGAAGAAGGCTGGTCAATCCATTTAGACCTGAAATGTATATACCTGTGTCTGTAGTGTCATAGATAAAGAAAACCAACAAAGGAAGGTCAAAATCACCTTTCTCTCACTATCTCTGACTTCCTTATAATGTAAAGCAATAGAATTCTCTCTTCCAGCCATCAACATTCACATTGCAATAATGATGATTTATAGTCACACTACGCTCTGGTAGCATAGTGGTTATGAATCGGGCTGTGAACCTCAAAGTCAGCAGTTTGAAACTACCAGCTGTTCCGTGGGATAAAGATGAAGTGTTCTGCTCCAGTAAAGACTTACAGCCTCGGAAACCCTGTACAGGTTCGCTATGAGTCCACAGCATATCACCACCACTCACCACCATACTTAATCAATCTGTATGCTGAGCAAATAATCTGCAAAGCTGGACTAAATGAAGAGGAACACCATTCAGGATTGGAGGAAGGTTCATTAGCAGCCTATAATGTGCAGATGACATACATTGTTTACTGAAAATGAAGAGAATTTTAAACACTTATTGATGAAGATCAAAGACTACAGCCTTCAATATGGATTACAACTCAATGTGAAAAACACAAAAATCCTCACGAATGAACCAAGAAACAAGATCACGGTAATCAGAGAAAAAAACCGAAGTTTTTCATTTTACTTAGATTCACAATCAATAGTCATGGAAACAACAGTCAAGAAACCAATCTGTCTTGAAAGAAGTATATAGTCAAGATGCTCCTTAGAAGCAAAAATGGCAAGACTTCATCTTCCATGCTTTGGACCTGTTATCAGAAGAGGCCAATACCTGAAAAAGGACATCATATTAGATAAAGAGGATCAGTGAACAAGCTAAGTTGCCATGGTGGCTGCAAGAATGGGTTCATACGTAGTAACAACTGTGAGGATGGTGAAGGACCAGGCAGTATTTCATCCTGTTGTACATCGGGTCACCATTACTCAGAACTGACCTGATGGCACCTACTAACAAACAGTCACTAAGCATCTCCTGGGAGTTCCTGAGTAGTGCAACGAATGTGCTTGACAGCTAACAGAAAGTTGGAGGTTTGAATCTACCCAGAGGTGCCTAAGAAGAAAGGCCTGGCAATTAACTTTGAAAAATCATTCATTGGAAGTTGTTCCCTATGGAACACAATTCTGCCCTCACAGACATGGGATTTGCAAGTTGTAACAAACTTGACAGCAACTGGTTTAAACAGCTACTATGTACCAGGTAGAGTTCTGGTGTGACATTGTGGGTTAATGTGCTGGACTACAAAGTCAGATTGAACAGCAAGGTTGGCGGTTCAAGTTCACCAGCCACACCTAGGAAACCCTATACAGGGTCACTATGGGTCAGAACTGACTCGGCAGCACTTAACAACAACAATGTACCAGGCACCATAGAATTGGTTGTACTCTTATATATGTCATCTCTAAAGCTTACCACAATTATGCAAATTAATTATGGTCTTGTTTTTATAGTTCAAGAAATGGAAGTTCATGTATTCTTTAACCTGGCAGCCTCCAAGTCCTTCTACAAAACTGGGGATGGCCAATAGGTTTGTTGTATCCATGTAATCAACTCCAGGCAATTGGAAGTGGCTACCTAGAATATTGTTTTAAGAAGACACCTGAACCCATTCTCAATGTAGAGGACAGTGACCCATCGACTTCTCCGTAGGGGTAGAAATGAGGAGTGATTGTGTGAATGGCACGGTTTGCAAATCTTGCACTGTGTCATACGACTTGCCTCTATATATGCAGAGTGAGAAGTTGTGGTGTGATTTCAAAAGGTACTTAAAGTCCAGTCACCTGCACCAGAGCTTGTGCCTCTGTCACTTCCCTCCCACTTACATTGAAATGCCCAGCATTAAAGTCACCCTTTGAGATAGAAACAAAGGTGTGAGCAATGTCTCCAAGCACACAACTTGGAAAAACTTCTCTCATTTTGTTTCATTATCATCTTCACATGGATTTCTTGTCACCTTGGAGAACGAGTCATCTGACAGAGGTTCACTAAAGGTAAGGGGCCCTGCAGTGACACTCTACAATAAATACTGAACTGCTAACCAAAAGGTCGGCAGTTCAAATTCACCAACCACTCCTCGGAAACCCTTTATAGGGTCACTATGAGTTGGAACTGACTCAATAGCACTTAACAACAACAAGGGTAAGGAAAGGGGTAAAGAGGTATACACGTATGTGAGCAGTCATCCGGAGGAGAGGGGACCATGACAACAGAGGAGGCATGAGTCCAGGGGCAAAGCCCTGAAGACGTGAATGAGCCATTAGACCTGGTCCTGGGAGGGCAGCGCAGACAGAAGGGCCTGTGGGAGATGGAAACATTCAAAGAACCTGAAAACACTCTCTTCCCTGGGTTGGCCAGACTGGTTCTCAGCAGGACAACAGTTTTGTGGCCATCTTCTCTCAATGTCAGTTTCCACATCTATAACAAACAC